TTTAGAAAGGAGAAGACTGAGAGGGAACATGATAGCAGTTTTGACATAACTAAAAGGGTGTCACAAGGAGGAGGGAGAAAAATTGTTGTCCTTGGCCTCTGAGGTCAGGACAAGAAGCAAGGGGCTTAAACTGCAGCAAGGGAGGTTTAGGTTGGACATCAGGAAAAACTTCCTAACTGTCAGGATGGTTAAACAGGTGGTTAAAGTTGCCTAGGGAGGTTGTGGAATCTCCATCTCTGGAGATATTTAAGAGTAGGTTAGATAAATGTCTATCAGGGATGGTCTAGATGATGCTTGGTCTCGCCGTGAGCTCAGGGGACTGGACTCGATGACCTCTTGAGGTCCCTTCCACTGTTCTATGATTCTTTGATTCTAAGATGAAGGAAGATGGCAAGCTCTGAATTTCAATGGTAGGCTCATTTTAGGTCTGGGCTAATTGAGACTGACTAGAGCAACAGCCATTAGGAGACAGCTGGGCCCTCTAGAGGAGCTGCCCCACGAGCCTGGCACTAGACATACAACACATGTGGTAAGACTGTCTGTGGAGAGTGTAGGTTCTTCCAGGCAGGGACTGACTGTTACAGGTGTGTACAATGCCTACCACAATGGTGCTGTCGCAATACAAATTAACACGAGGAAGCGCCTCTGGAACTCACTTGTGTAATCAAATGAAATTGAATCCTGTTTGCCTCTCTGGCCCCCTAGGCCAATGGTGAAGAACCTTTCTCCTATCAGGGTCTAATGGGGCCTCCAGAAAAAAATCACTCCTGGGCCAACCACAGCCCTGTGGGGGAGGGGCAAAGGTCTGGGGCTTTTCCTAGGCTCCAGCATGGGGCCAAAGAAGTAGGGTTTGGGATGTGGGAGGGAGACTGGAACAAGGGGCTTAAGTGTGGGAGGGAGAGAGGGCTCCGATTGGGTCTTCAGGCTGAGGGGTGGGACTGGGGATAAAGGGTGCAGGGTGCAGGAGGGGGCTCCAGGCTGGAGCCAAGCAGTTTGGGATGTAGGAGTAAGCTCAGGGCAAGGGGGTTGGAGTGTGAGTGCAGAGTGCGGGCAGGAGTTAGGGTGCTGTGGTGGCCTCAGGGCTGGACATGGAGGCTCTGGGAGGGAGTTTGGGTGGGGGTTGGGGCTCAGGGCTGAGGCAGGAGGTCGGGGTGCAGGGCGCTTACCTCAGGTGGCTGCTGGTCCGAGGTGCAGCAGGACTAAGACAGGTTTCCTGCTTGCCCTGGCCCCACACCACTCTTGGAAGCTGCTGGCATGTCCCTGCAGCCCTGAGAGGCAGGTGGCTCTGCATGGTGCCCTTTCTTATAGGTGCCACCCTTGCAGCTCCCATTGGCCATGGTTTCTGGCCAATAGGAGCTGTGGGGGCCTCCCTTGCAGGCCAGGACAGCTTGAGGAGCTTCCGTGATCGCCACCAGCCAGTGCTCACAGCGACAAGCCAGCAGGGTATGCACGTGGGGTGAAGGCTCTGTGCCAGGAGCCCGATGAAATTAAGCAGGGGGCTGAAGGTTCCCCACCCCTGCCCAAGACTGAGAGTGGAAGACTGCAGGGCCTTCTGAATTTCACAAAGTCTGTGGTTTCTCAGAGACCTTTAGATGGATAGCACTGTGGGCAAGGCACATGCTGTGTCCATCCAGCTCAGCATTCCATCTTCTGAGAGCCACCAACACCAAGTGCTCCACAGGTAATTAACAGAATTAAACCAAACAAACTACTACTCCCTATTAAATTAATTGGGTGACTCCTAGTTCTTGTGTTACCAGGTGTACCTAACATTTCCATGTTCACTTTCTCCATACCAGTCAAGATTTTATAGACCCCATCATACCCCCTTTGGTCATTTCTTTTCCAAGACGAAAAGTCCCAGTCTTTTTAATCTCTCCTTGTACAGAAGTTGTTTTATATCCCTAATGATTTTGTTGCCCTTCACGGTAGCTTTCCTAATTCCTGTAAATCTTTATAGAGATTGGGTGATCAAACTTGCATGCGTATTCCAGATTTGAGTGTAATGTGCATTTCTATAGAGGCATCATGGTATTTTGTGTTTTATTATATTCCTAGTGGGTCCTAACATTAGCTTTTTTGACTGTCGCTGCACATTGAGTGGATTTTTTCAGAGAACTATCCACAATGGCCCCAAGATCTCTTTCTTGAGTATTAATCATTAAGTTAGACTCCATCATTTTGTAGGCATGTTTTCTAATGTACATTATGTTGTATTTATCAACACTGAATTTCACCTGCCATTTTGTTGCTCAGCCCCTCAGGTGTGTGAGAGCCTTTTGCAGTCTGCTTTGAACTTAACTATCTTGTGTAATTTTGTATCATCTGCAAATTTCATTATTTCATTGTGTGTACCCCTTCTTTTAGATTGTCTATGACTATGTTGACCAATACTGACCTCCTGGGGACACCGCTGTTTACCGTCCTCTCTAATTTCATTATTTCATTGTGTACCCCTTCTTTCAGATTGTCTATGACTATGTTGAATAGCGCTGGGACCAATACTGACCTCCAGGGGACACCGCTGTTTACCGTCCTCTCTTAATTCTGAAAACTGACAAATTATTCCTGCTCTTTGTTTCTCTTTTAACCAGTTACTGATCCAGGATAGGCCCTTCCCTCTGATCCCATGACTGCTTTCTTTCTTTAAGAGCCTTTGGTGAGGGACCTTGTAAAAGGCTTTCTAAAAAAATAAGCTATAGTCACTGGATCATACTTGGAAGTTAAATATCACTGCATACCATTCTTCATTCTGATTGACTTAAAGGACAGAACTGTGTGGTTCTGTTAGTTGGTATATTATGCATAAAAGTGGAATTTTATATATATGAACGGCACAAGGGTGTTCGTTAAGGCAATATATATAGAGAGAAATCTTTTATGAATGAACTGGCTATAGAGATGCTGCCATTTAATTTGCTATTTTTTGCTTTAATTAAACATCAGCCATCCAGCAATCAGTTGAGGATAGATTTCATTAATGATAATAACGGGAGAAACATTCATTATTTTGCTACACAAAAGGGGCTTCAATTTATTTGAAAAGTTTTCTCTACTGTAGACATTTTACATTTCCTTTAGCTACGAACACACACATCTCCTTCAATTAAACAACTATTTGCATTTCAATGATTGATGAGTTAAGAATAACCCCCCCCCCCCCAGAAGATATTAAGCAAATTCACTGATTTTTGAGCAGGACTACATTTAGCCAATGAAAATCAGGATGCTTCTAATTCTGAGTACAGACAGCTAAAAAGTATTGGCAATTCTTTTCAATGGCAGTATTGTACATCTTCTATTTAACTGATGTACTAAGGTAATAGGAAGCAAGTAGTACTTATTTGAACTTCTATAACATTAATTAGACTCATATGATTTATCTTATAATAGGTCATATTTAGTCTAATATTCTGTTGGAATAAATTTGAGGTGCTCCACTGACTTCAATAGAGCTATGATGATTTACACCAAATGAGCATTTTTATTTGTGATTTTTTAGATCTCGTTTTATTGATTAAACTTTAGTAAATCATAGACTTGATTCTCCACTGTCTTGCACATTGTGTAGTCATTTGAGTGCTACAGTAATACAAACACCAATTTACGTGTGTGAAAAACAGGTGTAAAATCAGAGTGGACATGTTCCTGTCCACTTTATCCAAATCTCTTTGATCACACAAGACAGAAGCCCCAGGAGACTCAAGTCCCATTCATATTGCTCTTTTCTTCTTTGTGTTTTATTGTGTGTTATAACTTTTATTTTCGATATAGGTTGGAATTCGCAGAGCCATTGCTCCTAGTCAGTTTAATGGTTGCCTTTAATGGAATCTGATTTAGGCCAATGTGGAGCACTTTGGAAAATTGCATCCTTTGTTCTCATTTCAGTGGGATGAAATTGAGGTTTTTTTTCGGTTTTCTGACTGACTCATAAGATGATGTAATTGGACAGTAGACAACTGGAGCTGTGTGCCTGGAATAATCTCATGACTATAATTTTTAAAAAATGAACAACTATTTTAAAAGCTATCAATGATCTTTAATGTAAACATTGTCTGTACGGCAGTTTTCTCTGAGTATAGTTATTCTTAATTTTTGATCTGTGTAATGGTGTTTTGCATTGACAATGAAGGGTCTTGGGGATGAGTTGGGGAGCAGATGCTTATAGGGATTTGGTCCTGGAGGTCTCCTGGAGGCTAGAGCAGTAGCCATCAGCAGTCACTGACTTTTGATGGGTATATGGAGACCTTTGTGAAATGGATTTATGGTTCCCAGCCCACTTACTAATGGACAGACACCTCTATCCAAAACCCATCACAATCCCAGCTGGCTGATTTGGTGACAGTGTCAATTAACGTCAAGGACTGTATGGCCCCGAGAGTTTCTTCCATCCCTAGGGTGGTGCCTACAGCCAGGGATAGAGTATGTGCGGGAAACTCAAATTACTCCTACTCCTGCTTTAGAACATCAAATCTTGTCCCCGCTACTCACCCAAATGGTTCTATGTGGTGACTGGAACAATACACAAGTTTGCAGGATGTGACCCAACTGAAACCTTTGCTTTGTAGGGCTGTGAATCTGGACCCTTTTGCAAACATGTGAGTTCCAATCCAACACCCCCTGAATTTCAATAGAAATATTCCAATGGACATTGGATCAAACTGTTAAAGGAAAGAAGCTCAGATACCTTCATATTCTTTTGCAAATCTCTTTCCATTTCCCCACCCCTGGGAGACAGCTTAGAAAAAAAGGCATGTTGCAGATGAACAAATATTCCGTTGTTTGACATTGTTTCTGTAAAATTACAAGTAATTTGTTCACTCAAAAATTGCATTTTTTCTAAGCTCTCTCTCCATGGTTGAGAAATGCAAAGAGGATTGCAAAAAGGGGAAGCAATTTGTATACGGAAGCTAATTTGCTATTAATTCTGAATAATTTATATATATAAAAAAACCTGGGGAGAGATTAAACTCATTAGAGAAACTCCACAGAATAAGACATGTTTCCAATATGACCTTTATTGAGCAAGTACTGCTGTGACGGTTCTACATCGAACAACAAAAGGTTGCATACTGTGAATGTCAACTAGGTTCTCCCATGAACAAAAGTCCATCTTAATTGCACCAGTGAGGTAAACATAATTATTCATAAGTAGCTTTTTTTAAGGCTAGGAGAAATCTGGTTTTTTTCATGATTGTTTTTTTTTCTGTTTGTTTTTGGCTCAGTTGGTTCTTTGCATAATACCTCTTAAGACGTTCCTCAGATGTGTTCCTCCGACAGTTTAGGGAATTCAAAAGCTTCCTTTCCTCATGCATTTTATTTATTTATGTATGTTATTCCCCAAGTTCTGTGGAGGGAGTACATCTTGAGCTGGCATGCATTTCCCCCCAAAATTGCACACACAAAAAAGTAAAATATAGTGTGTCTGGAGACTCCATGAGAGAACCTGTTTTGCTTTAAAGCTGTCACTCACATGCATTTTGCAGCTGTCATATGGCTTAACCTTTTTCACCGACCCAACTTCTTTTGATTTTTGTAATAACTATTTTTAATCGCTACCTTTTACTTCTTTTATAACAGCATGTGAAGTGACTTTCTCAACCTTCTTGGTGGACACTAGTTTCTCTTCAAAAGATTCCTCGTGTTCCTCTACCTTTTGGGTGACCGTCACAGACTTGGTGATGTATTTGGTCGTACTGTCCCCGTCGTCGCTAGTGATTTTTTCCACCTTTTTGGTTACCACAACTTTCTCTTCAGCCTTTCCTTTCTTCTCTTCGGATGGGCTCACATCCAGGCCATTGGTGACCACACCCTTGTCTTCCCCTTCAACTTCTTTTTCTTTGGATTTCTCCTCCTCCTTGTCATCCACCTCCCCGTTCACTGCAATGTCTTCTTTCATGGATTCCTTGGAGGTCTTGTCACTTTCTTTTCCTTTACTGCCTTCGTCCTTCACTTTGGACTCTTTCTCTACGCTGACTTTTGTTACCTTTGTGACAGAGATGGTCTCTTCCACCACTGCCTTTTCTTCTTTCACTGGGGATCCCGCCTTCTCTGGAGTTCCTGCCTTCTCTGGAGACCCCGTCTTCTCTGGAGACCCCGCCTTCTTCTCTTCCTTTGTTTCCTCCTCTTTACCTCCCGTCTCCACTTTCTCTTCTTCACTTTCTCCTCCTTCAGCTTCTTCTGATTCCTTCTGCTCTTCTTTGGCCTCTTCCGCTGCAGGAGATTTAGGTGGCGATTTTGCTAGAGGTGTTTTCAGTTTTTCCACCTTCTCTTCCACTGCAGCCTCCTCACCCTCTTCCTCTCCTTTTCTTTCTTGGTCTCAGCCTCAGCTTTTTCTCCCTCAGCTTCAGCCTCACCTTCTTCTTCTCCCTCTTCCTGCTCAGCATCCTCACCCGCTTCTTCTGCTTCTTCCTTTTCAGAACCTCCTTCTTCTGCTGCATCAGATTTTGCAGCTTCCTCCTCTTCCTCCTCTTCTTCTGCTTTCTCTTCTTCTTCTTCTTCTTCTTCTTCAGCTTTGGGTGCAGCTGCTTTCACGGGCGCTTTCTTCTCAGCTACAATCTCCTCTTCCACGGCTTCTTCCTCTTCGGCTTCTTCTTCCTTCTTCTGTTCTTCCTTCCTTGCCAGTTCTTCTGCAATGGCTGCCAAGGCATCATCCATTTCTGACTTCTCATCCTCCACTTTTGTCTCTTCGATGATTTCTTCTACAAATTTGTGCTGGACCTTTAGCTTTGGCGGCTCCGCTTTGGATTTCTGTATTTTACTAGATGATATTGTGACTGTGGGTTGCCTGTGTGTAAATGTGGGACCAGTAATGCTTCCCGAGAAGGCACTGAATCTCGTCTCTTCACCCTCTAGTAGTTTCCTATGGAAATAAAGAGAGGGGGAAGTTAGCATGGAAAATAGCTACAGTGTTGCAGAGAATGAGAAAGCACATTCCACCTGCTTGAAACACCTAACCATGGAGAAATTTTTCCATGATCATTGGACATCTATCCATTGACTTCAATAGGCTTTGGATCAGGCATCTTATCATAGAATCCTAAGGTTGGAAGAGACCTCAGGAGGTCAAAGAGTCCTCCTGCCCAAGGCAGGACCAACCCCAACTAAATCATCCCAGCCAGGGCTTTGTCAAGATGGGACTTAAAAACCTCTAAGGGAACCCATTCCAGTGCTTCAGCACCCTCCTAGGGGAAAAAATTCCTAATATCCTCTCCGACTGCAACTTGAGATCTTTGCTCCTCATTCTGTCATCTGTCCCCTCTGAGAACAGCCTCTCTCCATCCTCTTTGGTACCCCTCCCTTCAGGTAGTTGAAGGCTGCTATCAAATCCCCCCTCACTCTTCTCTTCTGTAGACTAAATAAGACAGAAATCCTCCAGTCCCCCAGACTCTCCTCATAAGTCATGTACTCCAGCCCCCTCTTGTCCCTTACTGTAATATCTGGTGCCGAATGCTTTCCTTAGCTCAATTTATATCTGCGGATTGTTATTCCTTGATCATAAAGATTTTTGCTTAGTAAAAACTTATCATGAAAATGCATCAGCCACATTGCCAGACTGGTGTGAATCAGCATAGGTCAGAACATAGTCATTCACTTCAGTGTGGTCTTGCTGATTTACTCCAGCTGAGGATAGGGCTGTGTTCCCTGTCAGCGATGCACTTGTGCGGACACTCGGGAGAGATTTCAGTGCTGCTCAGCGGATTAGTGCCCACTGCTAGGTTTGTATTCTTCTTGGTGGTGTGCACTTGCATATGCCTCGGTGCACATAATAAAATGTATTCTACATGCGGACTGAAAAAATCTCCACATGGATGGGAAAGATTAGAGGGAACATTTGGCCCTATAGGTTTAAAATATAAATATTATGGCTTGGACTGTTAAAACCAATTAGGGCATTTGAATCCCCATTTCTCATTTATCTCAGCATTCAAATCCTTTATGATTTGAAACTCAGCCATAATATTACGCACCAGATTTAAACTATGTTAACCATGGCAATAAAATATCTATTCTCTCTATGCATATCTGATCACAGTCCTTGCACTTCGCAGGGTGCTAAAGATGTCTGCTTCCCAATCATCTGTTTTGATGTTATTTATATTCAGAAATGCATTTTTGCATCTAATCCTCTGACCCCAAAAAATCAGTGCTTTCATGTTTCATTTTGAAGCTGATATTGCAGTCATATATTTATATATGAAGCGACCTTGTTTAAAAAATAAATAGGCAAAAAAAAAAAAGTTACAAAACCAATGCCAAAGAAGCTAGAAACATCCTGCCAGATGATGGCTATAGCAGGTACATCTCTGCTCCAGGATTCCTTCGCGAAGGATCTGAAGGAAAGTTAAGGAAGAAGAGTTGAAGTGCAGATTAACAGTGCTCATTTGATACAAACCATATCCTAAAATAACAAGAGGGATTAAAACAATGCACGATATTGGTGCACCATGTTCGAAGAGAAGGGAAATAAAACAATGATAGATTAAAAACTGTCACCTGCATCCTGCTTTTGCAACCAAACAAGCGCAGAGGGCTGCATTATGAAAGCATTGCACTGCAGTCTAATGGCTCTAGCCCATTCCCAGGGAAGTTAACGGGAGTTTTGTTACTGACTTTCACAGAGCAGAATTAACTCCGAAAAATTTCTTATTGCTTAGGGGTCTTGAATTTTCACAAATCTGAAAAGAGGGCTAATAATTTGGCCAAATGTCTATTTCTGCATTTGTTTGAGGCTTAAAGGAAAATTGTTGCCAATCATAAAAGCAGTTGGGGCAGAGGTTGGTTGGAACCAGCAGCACCTGCAGTGCAGTTAGTAGGTACCTGTATGCAGCAATTTCAATATCCAGAGCCATCTTGACATTGAGGAGATCCTGGTATTCCCTCAAATGACGCGCCATTTCCCATTTTGTACCCCGCAGCTCGTTTTCCAACTGCTGAATCGTGTCCTGCAACAGACACAGAAAATCCCCGCGTCATTAGGACATTCACAACCAGAAAGCATCTTTGCCCGGATAACAGTCTGAACTCTCAACGGCAGCACTGGAAAAGTTCTGCATGGAAGCCGGTTAAAAGCCCGCTCTGAAACCCAAGGGCAAAGAAGGGGATAAAGGGCAAAAGGAGGCTGATCATGGCCTCATTGTCTTATTATTTCGCAAATAATGGTGCCTGGCATTAATGCATTTGGGGCCTGATTCTGCAGTCCTTACTCAGGCAAAATGCCTTTTGATGGAGTATTACCCCGGTAAAGACTGCGGGTTAGCCCTTTTGACTCCCCCCCTCCCCAACTATTTTAAGATATTTATGAGCTATCAGCAATCTACTGGAAAGAGCTAAAAGCTTTGTTAAAACGTTTAGAAAAGCCTTTTTAAACCTTGGCTCAGGCTATTCTCTTCTCCCCAACAGCAAACTGTAGGCTATATATTTGCAAATTGTTACAAATATAGAGGATACTAGAACACTAGATCTGCAGGGGACCTGCAGGCAGGGCAAATATCTCCAATGATGAAGCTTCCACAACCCCCCCTAGGCAATTCATTCCAGTGTTTAACCACCCTGACAGTCAGGAAGTTTTTCCTAATGTCCAACCTAAACCTCCCTTGTTGCTGTTTAAGCCCATTGCTTCTTGTTCTATCCTCAGAAGTCAGGGGGAGCAATTTTTCTCCTTCTTCCTTGTAACATCTCAGGTCCTCTGCTTCTGTCTTTAGACTGTAGTTAAAGGTTTGCGTAGTAAACCGAAGTGGCCTTCTTCCTTGTAACATCTCAGGTCTTCTGCTTCTGTCTTTAGACTGTAGTTAAAGGTTTGCGTAGTAAACCGAAGTGGGGAATGGAGGGCGTACGCTAACGGTGAAACGGATCGAACCAGAACTGTTGTAAATATTAAAAATGCGCCTTGTAAAGAGGTACTGGGGCCTCCCCGATTGCCAGCGAACCGAGCCAAAGTTTTCAGGCAAAGCTCAACGATTAGACGTTGGGCTGCATTGCGCCAGCTCTGTTTTTGCATCCATGCCAATTTTGCACAGGAGACGTGTGTGTGTGTGTGTGTGGTGGGGAGGGTTAAAACTTTTTTTTGCATCTTTGCGGGTGTTTCCCCCCGCCGCCCGCCCGCATCATTTGCACACCCGCGGTAACTCCTCGCCCGCGCGTCTGCCCCGCGCGCGTTCGCTCCGCAGCGCGCAAGTTCCTGCTGCATTTTTGGGGGAGGGAAGGGGGAGAGGGGGTTGGGGCTGCGCAACCCCACAATCTCCTGGCGCCCCAGCCCGGCCCTTACCTGGTAGGTGGTAAGATCGTGGTTGTGGCGCTCCTCGATGTCGTTCAGCTGCCGCTCCAGGGACTCCTTGGTGCCCCGCACCGACTCCAGCTCCACGCTCTTGGACTGCAGCTGCCGGCGGTACTCGGCGATCTCCTCCTTGGCCGTGCGGATGGCCTCTTTGTTCTGCTCCGCCGCCTCGGTGAGCTTGGCATAGCGGCACCGGAACCATTCCTCGGCCTGGTGCATGTTCTGGTCGGAGTGGCACTCCAGCTGGCTGCGGATCTCCTTGAGCGCGGCGGTGAGGTCGGTCTTCAGGTAGTCCTTCCTCTCCACCGTGACATGGGACGCCTGGATCTGGGCCAGCAGCTCGGCCACCTCCTCCTCGTGGTTGCCCCGCAGGAAGGCCACCTCGTCCTGCAGCGACTGCACCTTCTTGTCCAGCTCCACCTTGACCATGGAGGCCTCCTCGATGTCCTTGCGCAGAGCGCGGATGGTGGCCTCGGTCTCCTCGTGCAGGCGAGCCTCCTCCTCGAAGCGCTCCTTCAGCCGCTGGATGTCCTCGTCCACGTGCTCCGAGTCCAGCTGGACCTGCGCCTTCTCGTGGTTCACCAGCTCCAGCGTCCCGCGCAGCTCCCGCAGCTCTTGCTCGTAGGCGTCGCCCAGCTGCGAGCGCCCGGCTTGCTTCTGGCGCAGCGCCGCGATCTCCGCCTCCAGCGCCTTGTTCTGCTGCTCCAGGCCGTGCACCTTCTCGATGTAGCCGGCGAAGCGGTCGTTCAGCCCCTGCAGCTGCTCCTTCTCGTTGGAGCGGCTCAGCTTGAAGTCGCCGCCCCCGTTGAGCAGCGAGGACTGGCTGAGGTCCAGGCTCTCCGAGGAGCTCAGCACGGTGGAGCCATAGGAGAGCCGCGGCGCGCCCAGCGTGGCGCGCTTGTACGAGGAGGAGACGGTGCTCGGAGAGCCCCGGGACCAGGACTGCGACCTGAAGCCGCTGGACGGGGAGGCGCTGGCCCGGGTGTAGGTGGCCCGGCTCTCGGTCACCCTCCGGTAGGAGGGGTTGCCGAGCGTTTCCAGGGTGTAGCTCATCTTGGAAGACTTGGGGATGTGTGCGGCTTTCA